CTGTCCTTTGTCTGCCAAGCTGCTGGCACCTTTTACACTTGACACCACTTTTATGGAGGAGCACAATAGCCTAGAATCGGTAAAATTTCTCAAATCCTCAGCGACAGTAGCAGTGCCCCGATACGTTCCATTTTTCACAAAATGCAGAGTTCCTCCGGAAGCCTAGGACTTGTTGGGACAATCCTGGCTCCTCCCAACAGGTGACCTTGCGTTTGCTGTCAGCCTGGAAGCAGCACCGCACGGCCACAGCCCGACATCCAGAAGCTCTGGCCGTGGCCCCGGTACCCGGGGCAAGCCACAATTCTCCGTCCACACCTCAACCTCCTCCCAGGAGCAAACCTGATTCATTTCTGAACGCCCACTGCACACATGCATGCTTGTGACTCAGATGCAGTTGAAGGGGCAAAACCTTCCAAGAAACCTCCAGAATCTGGAATTAATCTCAGAAGGCCGTGTGTTCGGCCACTACGATCTGCACCTGGGCTCCCTGCTGTGGGTCCTGCTCTGGAACCACCCTGAGTGGAAGCTGGACGTCCTCCCTGCCGAGCTGCGACTCCAGAGCCGCGTCCCTGCAGCCTCTGAAATGCATGTCACACGGCCGGATGACGCCAGGTCCTGTGGTCCCCGCGTGCCAGCAGTGATGAGGGTGATGCCCGTGACAGTGGAAGCCACGTTGACTGTGGGCCTCGTCTCGCTCTAAGGCCTTGTATCATCCAAGTCCATCACTGACAACCCATGATGGAGGCGTCTTACCATCCCCCTTTTTAATAAACAGAGAATGGCAAGATCAGAGGATTAGGCGAGTCATCCCGGGTCCAAGGGGGGCTCCCTGTCTGCCCTCAGAGCCGCCGGGTGCCCGCACGCACCTGCTCCCGTGCTGACAGCACGTGCACCCGCACCGACACCAGCCTCGCAGGCCACGCTTTCAGGCCTGGTCACACTCCACTGTGTGACACAGATCGCACGCCAGGACTTCACACGCACACACACACGCACATACGTGTGCATGCAAACTAGAAAACGCTTCATTAAACACCTGCCCTCACTGCCTATAATGCATGTTGTCATTTTCTACACTTTTCTGTTTTTTCCCCATATATAAAATTGCTGGTAGTGACCCAGGGGCTTGAGTTCATGGCCCAGTAATGAGCTGCAGCCCACAGTTCAACAGTCAGTGTTCCGTGACACATAAGTATAAACTATTTGAAAACTGAAATTAAATGCAAATCGTTTCCTGAGTTGGAAAAGGGTCACTGCAGTGAGCGGCATCTTCCGTTATTAAACAAAACCTCTCACTTTCTCTCCCCACCTGCCTTATTTATTTCCACCCAGAACCGTCTGGCCCAGTGCAAGACCATTTACTTACTTTAGAAGTTGCTACCGCAGCAAGTGTCACTTCAGAAGGATCGAATGTGAAATAGTCTGTAACAAGTTATTACTCAAACTGGCACGTGTGTGTACAGACACTGCACACGTGTGTGCACACCTCTGGGCATGGACCCCAGCACAGGGGAAGGACCTGAGCACACAGCCTGGGCGCAGCAGGTGTCTCCGCCCACCCCTTGCGCCGGGCAGCAAGCCATGGTGGGGTGTGGGCAGAGGCTGCAGGCCTCACATGGAGCCAAAGAGACCCTCAGCCCCTCGGCCAGGCCAGCAGGGAGGTGCATTTTCCGTCAGGGACAGCCAGAGGCAGCGTCCTCTCAGCGCACCCGATCTCTCCTCCTTGTCCCTTTGCGACGGCCATGCGTGTCGCCCTCCACGCCCAGCCCCAACGCCCCACGAGCTCTCAGACTGTCCCAAAGCTCCACATTAATTTGCCATTAGTGCCACATTTAAATGCTACTGTATTCAACATAGGTTCATGGGGCTACTTTTTGCTTAGTACTTGTCATTTTTTGTTTTAATATGTATTTAAATTTCAAGGCTAAAACAGAATTTTGTGAGCTAATTCAAGTTTCTTTTTGTTTTCTATAATTTTTTTTTTACAGAAAGCCCCATATTTTCATTGAGTTCTGGAGCAGGGGCAGAACTGTGGTCCTCAAGTGAAGACGGCTCGGTGCTGGAGGGGACGCTGGGCAATTTCTGTGCACCAGGTCCTTTCCCTGCGGCGCGGCGTGGCCTCTGTGTTTGGCATCACTGCTGGCGCCAGGCAGACGGCAGGTGCAGATGGGGGGGGGGAGGAGCGGAGACATGCTGGGGAGGAGGATGGAGAGGCCCCTTCCCTCATCCTGCCATCCTGCTCTCACCACTTCTAGAATCTTCTGGAAACTTACTTAAGGAATAAGTATAGATATCTCTAAGTTATAAGAGTGTGTGTAGCCAGTGTTGTTTACGAAAGACACAAATATCCAAAGGGGAGATCTTGTTGGATAAGATGTATATAGGCAGCACGAGGCAGGTACGCGCTTAAACGCCGTGCAGATAATTAAAATGACATTATGTATGTCCCGTTATATAAAAAATATTTTCACTAGATGGTCTGCTCTGTAGAGGACTTAAGTAGTAATAGTATTGTAATATTCGGGTATTTTAAAATTACATTGTATGTACATTTTCTCTGTGCAGTGCCTAATATATAAGATGTGCTATTGATGATTTAATCTGCCAACTTTTTTCCATTTCAGTTTGCAATTAATTTACCAATGCAAAATTTGGGTCAATAGAACAGTCTTCATAAATGCTAAATATCACAACTCTTTATGGCTGATTTAAATATAACATTCAAGAGAAGGAAGAAATGCTGTTTTTAGAAATAACAGCTTCTCTAATGAGCCGATGTTACAAAAATTACCGATAGAGCAATTTAATTTTACTGTGTCTGAAGGTCTTCCCTGGAACTATTTCTTCTGGAAAGAGTGGGTTTTTCTCTTCCATTGTAGTCATTCTGAATGTGCTGCATTAATCCATTTTATCCTTGACTTTAGGTTAATTTTATAGAAAGGAAACCTTCTTTATCTGCCTATATTCCACAGCCATTTTCCTGGTCATAAAATTACCTTTCAAACATTATCCAGTGTGCTCTTCAGAGAATGCATGTGCTCTCAATGTGCGGTGGAGATTGATATGGGCAGGTGGTGGCTTCGCTAATTTATCTGTCACCAAAGGCAACGCTGGGCTTTTCGGTAAATGTCACTCATCTTCCCTTGGAGCTTTCAGGGACTGAGGGTAGCTGATACTTGGAGGAGGGCTTGACAAAAACGTCACCTCCCTGCTCTGTGCCTTTAAGCTACCCGGGGCGTGACCGCCCACAGTATTTGGAAGTGACACTCACTCCTTCACTGCAATCGCATTGAGATCACGGTGAAGAATTCTTTATTTTAATTTGACCCAGTAGAATCCGTACATTTGCAGCTTGGAAGAGCCTATGGAAATCATCCTTTAACCCTCTCAATGATGAGGAAACTGTGAAACTCAGCTTGGAAAAGTAAACATCTACAACTATGCCACTTCCTCCTGATCAGTTATTACTAATATAATAACATTGAGAGTGTAACTCGGACTTCCATCTTTCTTCCTTCCCTCTTTTCTTTCCTTTTCTGCTTTTTGCTTTTTCTATTAATTGTTCTTTTATACTTTCCATATCAGGGTTCTTGACCCTGGGGGCACGTGACAACTGCGTGTGGGTAATCCCGCAACCGCACTCCTGGGCGTGTGTGAAGGAAGTGAGTGGGCGGGTGAAGGGGACACCCGCACTCCCGGGCCTGCTGAAGCCCGCAAAACCCAGGGTTGGAGCGATTGCCCACCTGCCCCTCAGCGGCGAGTCAGCGAGTTGCCATGTTCATCCGGAGCCTCCCTCATGGGCTGTGAGTGTTCGCAGCCGGGGAGAGTTTTGCCAGAGGGAATTTTTTTTAAAAAAGATACATGATTATCCAAATTTGAGGGCCATTACTCCTTCCTAATAAGTAAAAGTACTTTCATTTGCATATTTCTAAGCAAAGAAAGGTTTGCTGAGAATGTCGAGTTAGAAATGAGTTTAGGACTTAATCACAGTAGATAATGTATGCTCATACTTTTAGAACTCTGTTTTCATAATTTCAAATTGGAAAGCAAACCTTTCTGACTGTAATTGTCTTTAAGAGGAATCACAGCTCTATACAAAGTGGACGCCTTCGATTTCCAGCACCATTCTCTGGGCCACTCAAACGAGCAGCAGGTCTACTGGCTAACAGTCTGAAATAAACCTTAGAAAATTGAAACGTAAACATAAAGAGAACTTTCAACCCATGACACAGTCCCAAGTTCTACCACAGCGTGTAGCCCTCGGAGACTCGAGGGAGGAAGCCAGGGACCTGTGAGGTCCCACGGAACCACAAGGGCAAGGAGCTCAGAGCCACGGGAGGGTTTCTTCTTTGTCGCCGTTTGACGTTGATTTTGTTCAACATTTCGCATCTCTAGGAGGAGCACTTGCCCTTTTTATGCAAGCACAGCTCCATATCAAATAACTCACGGCCAAATATGATGCCAGCTTTACTGCGTCTTTGGCAGCATAAAAATGAAATTTCCACGTGATTTTAAGGAGCAGCAGCGAGAACATAACCTGACGTTCCGAGCTCCCTGGGAAGAAAGCACAGAGGAGCCAGCACCCAGACTAGCGTGTGTGCTGGGCTTGCCCGGAGATATCAGCTGCCCCATGTCCAGTAACAGAGCTATGTGAAAAAATGCAAATAAAAGAGCTTTTTGCATTCTTAGGTTGACTCAGAATAAGTTTTAATTATAAAGCAGCAAAGGAGAGAGAAGTCACTTCACACCTGGAGGCATTGTTATGTTGGTAATTGCCTCTATCAGTTTGTGAGGATCTGAATGACCCTCTCTCACCTAGAGTCTCCATAACATTCATAAACTACTATTTTTGAAAAATAATTGTCCCCTTGTATTCAGTGCTTATTATGTCACTCTAGAGGCAAACATGTGTGACATAAGCATGAGGAAGCTCCCCATTACGGGACATGCTTGGGGTGCGGGGCTCTGTCCGCCCCGGGTGACGGGCGCCAATACTCTACCTAGGTCCTCCTCCGCTGGCCCTGGGAAGCTGATGCCCGGCTGGACCAGGTCTCCACCTTCTTCCTCTGCAAAGACAGAAAGACATTCACTCTTAACACAGTTGTGGTGCGGACTGCAGTCGTCACCGTACACATGCAGAACCCTTTGCTACCAACACAGTTCACACTTGGAAACACCTTCCCGTTTCTTCAAATGTCACTGCTCAGAGCCCAGCGTTTTGCGCCAATAATCTCAGGAATGGCCATAATTTTCTGGAGAAAAGCACTGTGATCACAAACATACATATTTCTCTTGTCCTGGCACTGACTTACATAGTGCATCCAAGAGATTCTCAGCTTCCCCTTTGGTTTCACCTAGAATTTATCAGCCCTGGGCTGCATTGGACTTGTGTGAAACCCACGTTATTTGCCCTGGCTCCGTGCAGCTGGTCGAGCCCCATGGCAGCCCTGTGCCAGCAATGACAGAGACCCTATTGTCTCTAAAGCTTTATGCTTAGTGTGGTAGTTGGATGCCTCACACTGCAGTGTTCAAAGCCTGCAGCTACTGTTTTAATGCTTAATATTAGTCCATCTCAGGTCCATTTTTCCCAAGACATTAATTTCATTTCCCTCTGCTGGAAGATCACCCTAGGTTACTGGCATTGATTTTCCATTATTCACTCTGCACATGCCACAAAAGCAGACACTGCTTTCTTGGCATGACATCACCGTGTGGCTGTCGGAGATCTTGGGGTCATCTGGCCTGTCCTCCCTCCACAGGTGGGGAAATGCAGGCTGTGGAGATGCCTGGATTTGAGATTTTCTCCCACAAGCCCCTGGAGAACTGGACTTAGAGAGGCGTCCAGCAGCCTTCCTCATTCTGGGCCGAGCCTGGCAAACCAGGCACCTCCTCTTCAGACCTGGTCTCTGCATGTGCCGTGGGGCATTTATAGGCAGCAAGATGCTCTGAGAGGCCAGAGAGCCAGGCTAAACTCGTTTGAAGACAGACCCAGGGAGTCTCAGATGAGAACTCTTTTGGGAATACCTTACATACACCTGCAAACGTGTTTCTATTCATGGGATATATGTTAAAATGATAGTTTGGCACATACCCATAAATATAATTCTGACTATAATCGCACGGTCAGACTCTAGCGTGTCTTATGCATATATGAAGGCTCCCAATATCCATGGATAGGCTTTGAGGCAACATGCTGCGTTTCCTTCCCTCCGGCACGAGACACAGCTAGCCACGCTACGGTCTGCAAAGGGTTCATTCTAGTGTGTTGTGGTCCAGCCTGAGGACACACGGCTATCACCATCTTCGACTCAGCAAATCAGCATCTGCCATTTTCAGTGAGTTGACAGAAAGTTAGGAAGGAAGGTGGCAGATTTAGCCCTGTGGGTCTCCATGGAGATAAATGCGTAGTAGAAATTCAGTGCTTGGCATCTCCCAGCCACTGATTTTTAAAAAATATTTATGTGTAATAGATATCCATCTCAACTGGTTACCTATTGTACAAGACAACCCAAATGATTAGCACACATCAACCCCACTTTTTCAAAGTTAACAGCATCTTTTGCACATTTTAGGTTGTGCTTTCCTGCTAATGAACTGCATTAAGTCCAATAGGAACCAAATACCAGAATTTTTTCATTTTGTTTAGAAATATGGTAGATGGTTCTAATTAAGCACAGTTTCCATGGAGACCAGGTCGCATTGTGTCATTGGCTTGAAGGCAGAGTGTACATTAGCTGGGTTACAATGGAATCCGGGGGATATACCAAAACAATAAATCCCCAATCACAGATCTCCCTGATCCCCTTAGTTTCAACTCACAAGTCCATACAAAAAAAAGAAAAAACAGTATGAGCTTTAACAGAATGAACTTGAATGGCGAGCTCACAGTGCATGTTGAAATTATGAATAAGAATGTCTGCTAACGACAATGGTGAGGACAGGGACAGACAGGACGCATGTAGCTTCACAAGGCCTCTCACTCACGTGGATCACGGCCCGGCGTAGCAGACCACAGCCTTGCGAGAGGAACACGCCTGACTGTTTTGAGAACAGCACCCGGGGAGGATGAGCAGGTGCATCTGGAGCTCAGCCCTGAACTTTGTGGGCAGAAGGGATCAGCTGCCTTCCCTCTGCCCGGACGCAGCCGCACTCAGGGAAAACTTTTCAAAGTTGAAGGGCACAGAGCGGGTTCAGGCCACTGAAGGTTCCCGTCTGTGTGTCACCTCTTCTTTGCGGCTTCAGGTGACTCGACACGTGTGATGGGGGACTGGTGGGTACAGACTCCATATCTTGTCATATCTAGCGAGGCTTTGTGTTTCCAGCCTGCACCGCGTGCTGTGGTGCCCTGACCTCAGTTTACCTCCCACAGCTTATAAGTCGGCACAATAGGTATTTTGAGAGAGAGAGCAAGAGACAGAGACAGATAGAACACTTTCACATAACTTTTATTACATATATTGTTCTAATTTTCGATTTTATCGTGAGTTGCTGTTAATCTCTCACTGTGCCTACTGAGCATTGCGAAGGGGAAGACGTGGTCTGTACGGGGTCTGTACTGCTCGAGGTTTCAGGCACCCACAGGGGGTCTCGGAATGTGTCTCTGGAGGATAAGAGGGGACTAGCATGCTCCCACCTTACGCTGACGTGGTCCGGAACACTCGGCCAGGCCACGCACTGCCCACACGCACAGGCCTGAGGCCCGGGTCCCCTGCACCCATGTCTGGCACGCTGGTGCCAATGAAGGTGCAACACTGAGTGGATGAAATGTGGGTATGCATACAGCTCTCAAACTAAACTTCCACCTCGGTGATGGCAGGGACCCCAAGCCACCTCCATCTGCATGTAAAAGGTACCTGAAAACTCGTTCTCTCTGGATATTTCTCTCTTGAGCCCCCCTCGAAAAGGAGGAGTATTCTTTGCTCCGAGAATCATGGAAGATGAGCGGTGTGATCTAGGCGTGGACTCTGGGCGGGGTGGCGGGCCAGCAGCCCTGTTAGCTGTGCTCACAGACACGCCCAAGTCGGTGGCCATGAGCTCCCCTCACTTGGCGTCTGTGTTTCCCGGCGTCCAGAGTCAACGCTCCCCAGCCAGGCGCGGCGGCCACCGCAGAGGTCACATGTGTGAGATTGATCAACGCCGTAAAGTTAATAAATAGTGCCTTCATCAGACATCATGCTCAAATTTCCATCGCATTTTCTTAGTGAAAATAGAAACGTGCCTGAGACTGGAACATTTTGGAAATCGTTTACGTACACATTTGAATGTGTCTAATGGGTTTTCGTCTTCGCTGGAGAAACACAGTTTTTCGCAGTTATGGCTCTTGGTGGGGTTTTCCCTGAGTCCAAACTGCTCACTGACAATAATTTCTGGCTGAATTCACTCTATGAATTGTTTTTCTCATCTACTGAAACTCAGTGATCACAGTGCTTCCTAGCGAGTGACCTGGAGACCCTGCGAACGGCTTCCGGGTGGCGGTGGCCAGGCCACTCTGTGGCTGTGTCCTGGCGATTCTGAGGGTTGACACCTAATTCCAAGTGTGCAAAGCGCTTTGGCCAGGAAAGCAGATCAACTGTGCCATGTGTCCTTGGGCGCAGCCAGAGTCCACAAATCTGCCACTAACTAGACACGTGATGGGCACTTTCTGTGGTTTCTGGAGTTACCTCAAGCCTCAGATAAACGTCTGTCATGTTCCCCTGGCCCCAGATGGGTCCAGATAGACCTGAGCACCTTTGTGATGGCACCTTACAAACCACGAGGTATCCTGCTCACGCCCCGGCTGCATTGCGCCTGCCCTCACGTGTCACGCGTGAGTCCTCTCAGCGCATAAACTGTGTGCCCTCTCTGAGGCCAACAGACAACGCGTGTGCACCCAGGGGAGGAAGGGGGTGAGGTGCTCCCTGGTGACTGGTCCTCAAGTGCCGCGGCCCAGGGACGTGGGGGTCAGAGAGCGAGGCTCCTGCTCCACTCTTGACGGGCCAGATCTCCATGCTCTGGGTGAGATCAGGTGGTGCCTCATCTAGGGATTCTGCACCAGCCCTCCCCAGTGGGGCTGTCTTGGGCTGACGCTGGGCAGTGGCGGGGGCGGGGTGCACATGACTTCCCAGCTGGCTGACGTCTGCAGAAGCTGCTGGACACTGCAGCTCTTCTATTTAACAGGCAGGCTTGAGTTCCCAGGTACTCGAGGTGGCTCTGCTCAGGGAGTGGCTGTTCATTCTTATTCCTAGGTGGGCTGTGCACGGACCCATCCCGCAGGCTGTCAGACTTGTGGGTGCTCAGTGGCCACGGGGCCTGGCGTGTTCTGTGCAGATGTACATACGACTGTTTAACATCACAGATGCGCCAAATTCAGGTAATGAGTGAATCGCAATGTGGTCTGCAGACACTGAAGACACTTGACATGCTGTTATAGGGCCAGCGGCTGAGCCTGGCATACAACAGGAGCCCACGATCTGCCATCCAGGGGAGCAGAGACACCTCCTTCAGGGGGGCTGCAAAGCCCCCAGGTGCATAGAATGGAATATTTCACATCAGCACACACTTATGCCAGACACGGTTTTGCCTCGCTGAGCGCGTGTGGCCCATCACACTGACGCACCGGGCGTGTTCAGACGCTTCACTGAGGGTGGGCCTTGGTGCCATGTCTCCTCCAGGCCACCCCCGAGACTGCAGGGCAGGATCTCCATCTGTGACTCTGAGCAGCACAGCAGACGGGAGGGAAGTGCAGGTCTGATGTGTCGGCTGGGTGACCCGGGAGGGTTAACATGTGCCCCGTGCAGGTGGGCCAGCGTGGCATCCAGCCCCCATGTCACCGTTCTCTCCCCTCTCGCTGCACATAGTTAATAAGACTCATGCTGACCTTGGTCCTTTTTCAACCTCGGCAGGTCAGGGTGGGCTCCAGGACTACCAGGGTGCTCCAGGAGTGGTCCCTGGGAACGAACGCTCCTTGTGGAGAATCAGGGAAGAAAACTGTGTGTAGTGATTTGCGTGCACTTTTGCAAACACGCACGTCTTCCAGACCTCACTTACTGCCCCGACCTTTCAGTATCGAAGCCCGGAATTACCACCT